GGCTGCCAAGCGCCGTCTGCCAGGCGAGCGGCAGCGATTTCTGGTGATCGCTCTGGAGAACGCGTGTGCGCACACCATGCACCGGCCCGTGGTTCTTCGCTGGAGGTGGGGCTCCTCCTCTGTTCCGCTGACCAGGGCTCTGCTTCAGGGGAATCTTGCTTAGTTAAACAAGATCTCCCGTGTCCCCCCAGAGAAGCACAAGAGAGTTTATTTGTGTGTTCCCTGGTGGTTTCTTCCTAGGCAGTTATTGCTCCTTACCACAACCCAGTTTTATCTAATAGTGCTCTTTTGCAATGAACAGCAGCTCCCAGGGCCGCACAGTAACAGCCTGGGACCCGTAGCCAAGCAGTGCTCTGTTCGCAGGGTTTCCCTTGGCAGTGCTTTCTTCTCATCACCTCCTGATTCTGATGTTCTGGTTTATTTTGTGCTTTAAACACCCTGCCTTAATACCTTATTGATGTTTGACTGAACTGATGCTAATCAGCAAAGATAAAAGCAATTTATCATTAAATCTACTGACGGAAAAATAACAACATTCAAATTTTATCGCAGAAACCCATATGCCTATTGGGGAAATGTCTACATAAAAGAGTCTCTTTCCTTTAAGAGTACCTGATGAATGCGACCTACGTGCTCTGGTTATAGTCCTTTTGCAACCATTAGCGGTGGGATTGACCAGCTGAGTGATGAGACGCACTGATTCTTCCCCCTTCGTTTGTTTCAGCGTGTTTTCCTGCAGCGAGGCAGTAGAAAGGAATTTTAAATAAGACTCTATTACTGTTAGAGTCTGCCAGGTTAATTTTATTGGGACACCAGTAACGTTTCAAGTGGTGTGGTCTCATACACCACATGATGCAGTGGCTGATATCCTGTAGTTACAGGATTCCTCTGGGGAATTACAGGTAGTTACATTTATTGGATTTATTTTTAGAATGAGGTAGAACTTGTCAATGTTAAACACAAAAAATGAGGCTAAAACACATTGAAGATCACAAATCTTAGAATAACTTTGTGTTCCTTTTTGAAATCTGCTGTGACTTGAATGCTGTTAGGTGAACTTTCATGATTTTGATGGTATTGTTCTAACTAGGGTATGAATGAGAATTATGCATCTAGACCTTCCAGAGCTTTGGACATAAATCCAAAGTTTGCTTTCCTACTTGAACAAGCAGTTCCAGGCAGCTGAGAACTGAACAGCATATGCATATGTATAGACCTGTGCAGCGCAAATCATCTGAGTTTCCCTACTTCTGTTCTTATCATGTCACCCCTGGCCTCGGGTATAGCCTTTAGCTTTCCCGCACTTTGAATCATACACAGACTGCAAGCTTCATGTGGAGTAATATTCTGGTTCATGGTGCTGCTCATCACATCAAGAAGCTGGTGTATTGGTAAGAAAAATCCATGAGAAAAAAGCTCATAGCTGATTGTTAGACTGTCTCAAAGGGACACTTGGTAAACAGTTGCATCAAATGAGGTCACGTAAAGAGGAATGGCAGATAGCAGCTGCATCCCCTGTCGCGCTGAGCAAATGGGTTTATGAACGGGCTGCTGCCAGGAGACCCAGAGGCGGGTTATGAGTGCCCCCGGTGCAGAGTCTACTGGCTGTGAGCCTGGGCAGGGCTGTGCATGCTGAGGCAGGGCTCCTCTCTACGCTGCTGCTATGGTCAGTTCCCTTGGGTGCTCAAAGAAGAAATGTCCATCTTGAAGAGCTGAGTGTGAACCTCAAGGGCAGCAAACAGCGTTTTTCCAGAGCTCCGAGCTGGATTTTCACTGCTGTGTCGAGTTACTGGTTGCTCAGCCAGCTGGGACTTCGCAGCAAGTGATGGGATCTTGCAAGATCCCCTGGAGGGATCTCATGTACGTGAGTGTTGGCTGGGGCAGCGTAGGACTTGCGGACGATTTTCACAGTGCCAGCACAGACATGACACGGGTGACTTCTGGAGCTGTACCACTCCATAGTGGCAG